AATTCTTGGTGCACGAGTCGGTTCATCTTATCAGTCGTCGTGTCGGGGTATCGCATGCCATGGCGATCTTGCGAACCTACCCCTCACCACGCCCCAAATCACGCGGGCGCTCTACAGCATACGGCGTTTGCAGCTGAAGCAGTGGCTGACCTTCTCGCCACCGGCGCAGCGCGCTTTGTCCCAGCTGGCACGCCACTTACTTGCATTAGCCCACTCAACGTGATCGTCCAGCCTTCTAAGAAAAGACTCATTCTCGACCTTCGCCATGTGAACTCCTTCCTCTCCATTCCTCGTTTTCGTTACGAGGGACTTAATCGGGTACCCGACCTGGTGCGTCAGGGTGACTGGCTGTTTACAATAGACCTTAAGTCGGGCTATCATCACGTGGACATCGACCCATCATATTGGCGGTTTCTCGGATTTTCATTGCAAGGCCAAAAATATCAATTCTTGTCCTTGCCCTTTGGGCTCGCCACGGCTCCATTCGTTTTCACGCAGCTAATCAAGCAACTTGCTAAGCGTTGGCGCAGCAACGGAATTCGGCTAATCCCTTACGTGGACGATCTCTTATTTATCAGTGCCACTTGGGCTGAGGCAATCAAAACACGAGCCGTCATTCTAGATGATCTCAGCTCTGCCGGATTTGTCGTCAATATTGGGAAATCACAGCTCGAGCCCTCGCAACGGCTCAAATTCCTTGGCCTCATGCTGGACACTCGCACCTCATCCTTCTCTGTCGATGCTGACCGCCGAGGCCGGTTGTTTGAGGAACTCGACCATTTGTGCCGAATCAGCATGCAGGGTCGTCCTACCCCAGTTCGCCGAGTGGCTAGAGTGGCAGGCATGCTAGCCTCTATGGCGTTGGCACTTGGCACCATCGCTCGTGCCTTCTCCCATAATCTGCTTTCTCAAATCAGTGCGTGCCAATCTTGGGGAGAGTCCGTCCACTTAACACCGGAGTCGGTTGACGAGCTGAGATTTTGGCTGACTCAGTTCGATGTCTTCAATGGTTCTTGTTTCCATAATCCGCACATGTATGACGTGGTCATGTATGTGGATGCAAGCGACCATGCTTGGGGGAGTTGCTATTCCACGCCGGATGGTCGTGCCGGCTCATGCTCTTCTCCATTTCCTCGCACGCTATCAGCCGCCTCAAGCACGCTACGTGAACTCGCTGGGATTCTTTGGGCCCTAGCTTCCTTCAGCCGCGAAATTCGGCGATCACATGTGTTGCTTCGGAGCGACAGCCAGGCAGCTTACTACATCTTAAAGAAGGGTGGTTCGCGTCACGCGGAACTCACCCTAATATGTCGCGCCATCATCACGCTTTGCGTGCGCCATAAGATTCGACTCACGGCACAGTGGATCCCTCGGGAGCTCAACACCGAGGCCGACGCGCTCTCAAAAATCGAACTTCATGATGACTATTCTCTCGCGCGGACATGGTTTGAAGTACTCGAGCGTCGCTGGGGGCCACATACTATCGACTTGTTCTCGTCGCCGTTCAATGCACAGCTGTCCCGCTTTTGCTCCCTTAACTTTCATAGAGAAGCCGTCGCACAAGATGCATTTTCTCTCAGTTGGATAGGAGAGAACTGCTATGCCTTTCCCCCACCGCCCCTAATCCCAGCGGTCATTGCTCACGCGCGTCGTTCTAGAACAACGATAACTCTTGTGATCCCGGAGTGGCCTAGCTCGTTTTGGTGGCCACTGCTGCGCCCGAATGGCACTGCCTGGGCGAATGATGTATGTGGGAGCATGTATCTCTCCCACGGCTCCGTTTGTCTAGGTGTTGGTAGCGATCCTCAGGCCTTTAGTGGTGCCGGTATTCCTCATTCGCACATGTATGCACTCCGTTTGATATGTACTAAAGGATAGTCATGTCAACGTGCAGGATCTTACATTGGACGCTTGATGATGGATCTCTTGACACTCACAGTCGATTTGCGCGCTCAATCGACCATCCGCACATACGAACCATACTGGCGACAATATCGCGCCTTTTGCCAAGAGCATTCGTTGCCATTCCTTCCAGCAACTGACCTGACAACAGCCCTTTTCCTACTACACTCGATCCGACGGGGCGCAACCGTATCGGCCGTGCGAACTGCTTGCTCCGCAATCTCATGCGCCCATTGGTTGGTCGGCTGCCCTTCCCCTATTCGAGGACCACTTTCTTCACAAGTGCGAGAATACGCGCAGCGCCATTGCGGCAAGCCCTCACTGGCGAAGGAACCGATACCCCCTGCGAAGATCTACGACATATGCGACATCTATTTCGCGTCGTCGGATCCTGCCACATTCCAGCGCGGTCTCATACCCCTTCTGATGTTCGCGGCATTCTTGCGCTTCTCCGACCTGATCGCCCTCCGGTGGCATCAGATCGAATTCGACCGTGACTGCATGTGGCTCTTCATTCCCCGATCCAAAATGGATCAGGCCGGATCAGGCGCCTGGGTTCCAGTTGCAGCCTCTTCTGCTCGTCACTGCCCAGTCGCCCGCACGCAACAATTTCTTTTCCTCGCGGGATTCTCTTCTCAGACATTAGGCGCCTTGATCAGGGTGTTCCCGCCTAATGCTCGCGCTTCGCCGTCGGACCGTTCCCCCTCATATGCCACGGTTAGAAGCTGGTGTCGCGAGGCGTTCTGTCGGGTCGGCCTCAACCCGAATGCCCTCGGCACACATTCTTTTCGCAAATCGGCGGCCACTGTGGCAGTTGATGTGGGTATTCCCGATCGAATCTTCAAGGCTCTCGGCCGATGGCGTAGCGACAAGGCTTGTGAGTTATACGTCACTCAACTTGATCGGGAATTGGTAGCGGCGTCTCGAACTCTTCAGGATCCAACACGCCCTAGTCCAACCCATCGTTACGCAGCCACCCTCGCACGCCATCGTCACATTCCCTCGATATGATGTCTCGCTTACCTATGACGACTGCACTGCACACTCCTCGGAGAGTCGTGTCACAATATGTAAAAATTTTTAAGTTAGAAAATTTTGAAGATTGTGATTCGACTAGTAGAGGAGTTGTTGTAAAGGAGACAAACTCCTTGACATTCCGGCAGGCCTCTCAGACCTGCCACCTAGTCTCATTGACGACTGCACTGCACACTCCTCGGAGAGTCGTGTCACAATTGGTGTTGTGGGAGCAAGAAAAGAAGGCCTACAAGACAGTCTCGAGTTTCAAGTTCCACTTCTTCCTGTTTTTCCTGGCAGATGTGCTGAAACTGCTCAACGAGCTGAACCTCAAGTTTCAACGGCGCATGGTGAGCAGTAGAGAGGTCCGTGCTGATGTTCATGCACTCGAGCGTGTCTGACGTTGGCTTCTTGCCGTGTGCAGGTGGACATCACCCGGGTGGCATCAATGGTCCACAACACGTGCGACAAGCTGAAGCAGCGATACATCGAGCACGGCGTCAACTACGCTGAGGATAGCGAGTTGCTCACCGAGTTCATGGAGAAGCACGGAGCGTTGGACAAGCGGGAGGTGACGGTCGAAGGCATGGATGGGGAGGGAAGTCCCGTTAAACACACTTTCATGCTGCACGAGGACGTCATCAAGGGACAGAAGTCAAAAGGCGACATAGAATCATGCATCACTGTAACCCGCCTGTTTGCGCAGGAAGTTGTGAAGCACCTCCTGAAGCGGATGGAGAGCCTAGACACCCTCACCGGAGCGAAGCTTTTCCTGCCTGACGTGTACCCCGAGGGAAGCGCGAAGAGAGACCGCCTCTGCCAAGCCTGGTTCCAGTCTCTCCGCACGCTGTTCAGTGCGGAGAAGTGCGTACTTCCAGGTAATCTGTGCGTCTCTGTTGTGCGTCAATTTTACACGCTTGGTGATACGGTACCGCCACTGACTTATCTCCCCGTTGGCCCCCGCCCCTCTTGTACTTGCAATTGTGCGTGAGCAGGAGTGAGCTGGAAAAAGGCGGGACGAGAACTGGTGCCGTTTACCAAGATGATGGCCTCGCAGTACAAGGACCAGACCTTCCACGCCGGCCTCAAGCACATGTTGCGCAGCGACGACTGGGAGACGAGCTACCCCAACATGGTCCGCATCTGGATCGCCCTCGCCGTGCTGCCGCTGAGCACCGTCGAGTGCGAGCGCGGCTTCTCGAGGCAAAACATCATCAAATCGTGGCTCCGCGGGAATCTGTGCAACACACGCCTGGCGGACCTGATGTCGGTATTGCTCCTGCAGTACGAGCCGAACTGGGAGGACGTGGTGGCTGCTTGGAGGGGGGCAAAGAAGAGGCGCCCTGTTAAGGAAGTGACGACCAAGAAGAACACTCCAGAGAGAGCCCCGAAGCGGAAGGCCGAGAGAGGAACGTCAGCTGCTGCCTCCAATGAAGACGAAGATGATGAGGAGGACGTGGTCAGGCAGAGGACCTCTAAGAAGGGCAAAGCACGTGCAGCTGTAGCAGTGTCGGACGACAGTGATGATGACAATGGGCTTGATGTCCGCGCCACGATAGTAGAGTCTGACACTGAGTAGACTAGACTAGAGTAGATGTAATTTGTAGTGTAATAACACCTCACCAGTAGTTACATAATTTTTTATTTGATAGTTCTTTTACCGTAGTATTTATGAGACTTCAGCTTCTGCCAGAGTTGATGCAATGCAACCCAAAAAAAAAAAAAAAAACAGACAAGCCAGTGCTTTAAGATCTGACACATCAGACAGAGATTTTGGAAAATCCTGATCCACCAGACAGGGCAGCACTCAGCCCACTGATGAAGCAGACGGGCCCGAAGGGCCCGTCTGCTCCATCAGGCTGCCTCAGATCCTAGCGACGTCCCTGCCCCATACCCCGCTAGCATGCACATGGCTTCGGCACATGCTAGCGGGGTATGGGGGTCTCGTGCATGCACCTCAGGAATGTCACAGTTCCACATTTTGTATACAATTTGCTATTTCTCTCTTGTTTCTTGTTTTTTTGTTTTTTTTTTTGTGTTTTTTTTTTTTTTTTTTCTGGAGGGCAGGGCATAAGGGGGTGACTTCAAGCAGGGATGCGGTCTTCAAGGTATGCCAGAAGCGCTTTGGTGCCACCGTTTATGATGCTCCACCTGATACTGCTTGTTGTACAGGAGGCACATGTGAGATTGCAGAGAGAGAGAGAGGGCATGGAATGGCATGGGAAGGACTGAGAGGGGGTTTGGAACAGAGGGCAAGATGGCAAGATGAGGTAAACCTGCAGGGCCTTTTAGAGACACAATTAGAGGGAGCAGAGGGGGTATGGAACAATGGGAAGGCAAGATCAAGTAAGCCCCGAATAACAGGCAAGTGAAAAAAGGGGCGTGCAAAAACGCAACTTTAAGATGTGGCTGTAATAGAAAATTACGGATCCCAAACAGCGATCTCATGTGTTGCAATAGCTCTTTTGACAAGCAGCGATCTCACGTGTTGCAATAGCTCTTTTGACAAGCAGCGATCTCACGTGTTGCAATAGATCTTTTCACAAGGGATGATGATTGGTGTAACGAGCCTAAAAATGACCAAGAGCCCATGCCATCTTCGATGCGCTTACAATCCAAAGTGCTTCAAGAAGGGCGTGCATTTAGTTTATAGCATCTCACGTGCGAATGGGGTTGCCGTCGACTCGAAGGAGAGAGAGAGTCTTCATCAAGCCCTGAATGGATTGAGAGGAGAACAAAAGTAAGGCAGGGAGGGTGTGGAACCCAGTACAAAGGATTTGGCACACGCATGATTGGGATTGTTTATGTAACCCAGGTGAGTGTGAGGGTGAGGGAGCCTAGTTTTGAGGCGCCTCAAAACTGGAACCAAGACCAAAGGGTTTGGCACACGCATGATTGGGATTGTTTACGTTACCAGGTGAATGAGAGGGTGAGGGAGCTAGGGAGACATCAGCAAACCATGGAAGAATAAAGTGGTCGGCTTTGCTTATACAGTCCTTGAAACCACTCTGAGAGAGAGAATAGACACTGCAGGAACAGCAGCAGCAGAAGCAACAGCAACATAAGAACTAGCGGGTAATTGAGTCGACTCACCACAAGAAATGGAGGAACAGGAGCAGCAAGAGCAGCAGATGCAGTCGCAGTGGCACAGACATTGTCAACAGTGGATGCAGGAGCAGCGGCAGCAGCAGGGAAGGTGAGGTGAGAGAAGCAGACTCACACGATCGAGGGTCACCATGGGGACGTTGTTGCCCGATACATCGAGAGCGTTGTGTTTTTGGAAAATTCTCAAAACAGCCTCACAGCAAAACGGAGTAAACAGCTGCAGCAGAACAGACTCACAAGCTTGGGAGGCAGCATGGGAATGTTGTTGTCCGACACGTCAAGAGTGTTGCGATTTTTGAAAGATAGAAAACAAAACAGACTAAAGACCTGCCTGCAACAAAGCAGACTTACAAGTTTGGGAGGCAGCATGGGAATGTTGTTGTCTGAAACGTCGAGCGACTCCAATCGGGTCAACCGGGTCACTTCCTGGAGTGGTTTCAGGTGGTGAATGGGTTTGCACGTTATCGGGTTACACATCATTCCAAAGATACGAAAATCATTTGAAAGTGTGAAAGTGCAGGATCTAGCTAGTGAATTACAAGGAATCAGCACAACGAGACACAGAGGAACTGCACAAGATGTGCTTATAAGGCGAACAGTATGGTGTGCCTGTAGAGAGACACAAAAGTGTGGATCTCTTAGGTGCGACGGTGGTGCTTATAGCAGAGTGGCGAGGCCAGCTTACAACGGGTATGGATTCGATTTGATTCTGTGAGAGATTGAGGACTCGAAGGGAGGGGAGAGAGTCAAAGCCTGCGGGAAAGGCAGTAAGGCGATTGCCCCTGGCGGATAAGGGAAGTGGAAAGGGATGAGAGGAGGTAAGATGCAGTTCAGTGCGGTGCCATGTGGTACAATGACTGGAAAGAGCCAAAGCTTGGAGGGAGGGCAGATAGACGACAGTGTTCCCTTTCACGCTAAACATTGAGGGACATTGTCCCGACATTGCCACGTTTCTACCTGAGGAGATTTTAGAGGGAACCTTTCAGAACTCCCAACTTAGCCATTCCTCTACCTGAGGCGCAGGCTATAGCTTAGGGAGAAACACTGTTTGAAGAGGTGTTTTGAGACGTCTCAAAACACTTCTTCAAACACCCAGCTTTGCCCTTCCTCCACCCGAGGTGCAGGCTACAGCTTAGGGAGAAACACTTTTGAGTAGAGCTTTGAGTCGACTTTTGAGTATTTTGTGTAACTGCGGTGCAGCTCAAAGGTAGAAGACCTTTGAGCTGAGCCTTGAGGACCTTTTAGACCTTTGTCAAAAGGTCAAGTCGAAGGGTGTTTTTTGTGTACCTGCGGTGCAGCTCTGTGAGGCGCGGAAAGGCGGCCAGGGAGAAGAGGAGGGTGCGAGCAGTAGCGGGGAGGAGACGCCCTTAAAGTCGACTTATCACTTCTCAATCGACTCAGTAGGCAGGCCAGAGAGGGCCTTGCATGTTTCCTACCTGAGGTGCAGGTGCAGCTCTGTGAGGCGCGGAAGGGCGGCCAGGGAGAAGGAGGGCACGAGCAGTGGCGCGTGGAGGAGATGACCTTTGAGTCGACTCGAAATCACTCTGGAGTTGACATGACACCACCCATTCCCTACCTGAGGTGCGGCTCTGCGAGACGGGGGAGGGCGGTCAGGGAGAAGCTTGCATGTGCGAGCAGGTGACAGAGTATAGGAGAGCCTTTTGGGAGTATAGGAGAGCCTTTTGGGACGGTTCCCTACCTGAGGTGCAGCTCTGTGAGGCGTGGAAGGGCGGCCAGGGAGAAGGAGGGTGGTAGCAGTGGCGCGGAGGAGGGAGAGCAGCAGCCGGAAAGATTCAGGCACTGCAACGTGGAGATGTCCTGTGGCGCTGTCAGGGGCAGCTGGAAAGGATGGGAGGGCGGGAAGGGAGGGAAGGGAGGGATGGGAGAGGAGAAGGGAGGAGAGAGATGGATGAAGGGACAAGGGCGAGGAGGGCGAGCAGCAGCAGCGAGAGGTTCCGGTATCGTAAAGAGGAATTGTCCTGTGGCGTTGTCAGGGGCAGCTGGAGAGGAGGGGAGGGAGGGAAGGGAGAGGAGGAGAGAGATGGATGAAGGGAACAAAGAGGAGGAAGGCGAGCAGCAGCAGGAGAGATTCAGGTGGTACAGTGAGGCGATGTCCTGTGGTGCTGTCAGGGGCAGCCTGGAGGGGTGGAGAGCGATGAAAAGGGACAGGGGAGGTTGCCCCAGCCTCACCCGCCCCAGCCTCACCTGCCCCAGCCCCACCTGCCCCAGCCTCACCTGCCCCACGGGGTTGTTGGCGAGGGAGAGGGTGCGGAGCGATGGGAGCGAGCGCAGGGCAAGAGAAGGCCAGGCTGCAATCTTATTGGTTGACAGGTCTAGCTCCTGTAAGGGCATGGTGGGGGGATATGGTGGGGGGCATGGCGGGGGGTATGGCAAGGGGCATGGTGGGGGGTATGGCAGGGGGCATGGCGGGGGGTATGGCAGGGGGCATGGCGGGGGGTATGGCAGGGGGCATGGCGGGGGGTATGGCAGGGGGCATGGCGGTGGGTATGGCAGGGGGCATGGCGGGGGGTATGGCAGGGGGCATGGCGGTGGGGAACATTGTGACTCCGCAATGACTCGGAAGTTGCACGATGAAGCATGTGATGGTGAGGCATGTGATGGTGAGGCATGTGATGGTGGTGAGGCATGTGATGGTGAGGCATGTGATGGTGGTGAGGCATGTGATGGTGAGGCATGTGATGGTGGTGAGGCATGTGATGGTGAGGCACGTGATGGTGGTGAGGCATGTGATGGTGAGGCATGTGATGGTGAGGCATGTGATGGTGGTGAGGCATGTGATGGTGAGGCATGTGATGGTGGTGAGGCATGTGATGGTGAGGCATGTGATGGTGGTGAGGTATGTGATGGTGAGGCATGTGATGGTGAGGCATGTGATGGTGAGGCATGTGATGGTGGTGAGGCATGTGATGGTGAGGCACGTGATGGTGGTGAGGCATGTGATGGTGAGGCATGTGATGGTGAGGCATGTGATGGTGGTGAGGCATGTGATGGTGAGGCATGTGATGGTGGTGAGGCATGTGATGGTGAGGCATGTGATGGTGGTGAGGCATGTGATGGTGAGGCACGTGATGGTGGTGAGGCATGTGATGGTGAGGCATGTGATGGTGAGGCATGTGATGGTGGTGAGGCATGTGATGGTGAGGCATGTGATGGTGGTGAGGCATGTGATGGTGAGGCATGTGATGGTGGTGAGGTATGTGATGGTGAGGCATGTGATGGTGAGGCATGTGATGGTGAGGCATGTGATGGTGGTGAGGCATGTGATGGTGAGGCACGTGATGGTGGTGAGGCATGTGATGGTGAGGCATGTGATGGTGAGGCATGTGATGGTGGTGAGGCATGTGATGGTGAGGCATGTGATGGTGGTGAGGCATGTGATGGTGAGGCATGTGATGGTGGTGAGGTATGTGATGGTGAGGCATGTGATGGTGAGGCATGTGATGGTGAGGCATGTGATGGTGGTGAGGCATGTGATGGTGAGGCATGTGATGTGGAGTGGACATAGGAGAAACAACGATTGCAGGAAGAAAAGTCACATCAAGAAGGAGACAACATGCCATTGCACACAAAAAGCTGACTAAAGCAAGCAACGGACTTGTGACCTAGAGGTCAACCAAGCTGATATCGTATGCGTAGACTCGCCCCTACTCTCACCACAGTGAATCAGGTGCAAGCCGGGAGGAATCGTATGAATTTGAGGTCTCTTTTGATGGATAGGAAAACGATTTGCATACTCACAGTGAGGGAGGTACAAGCTGAGAGGAAGAAGGGCAGCGAGGTGAGGGAGTTGTGAGAGGCGATGATGGACGTCAGAGGGATGTCACCCGCAGCCAATGCCGCGATGCCACGTGGCAGCTCTGATAAGCCCTTCTTTGACAACTGGAGGGCCTGTGGGTTGGGGATGGGGAGGGAAAGGAGGAGAAGGAGGGGATGGGGGGGGATGGGAGGGGAAGGAGGGGCGAGGGATCGTCAGCTGGTTAATTTTGTTCTCATTTCACTCCACAGTTGAAGCTGTGGAATGCATAAAGATCACTCTGAATGAGGAAGAAATGTTCCAGCCAGACGTCTTAGTGAAAGGGTCTTCACTGATTATGACATCCCAAAGAACCGCTTTCCACCCACTCCTATCCCTCATCCTGATGGATGGATTACTCACCCCTCCCTCAAAGCACTCCCTCAGCCATGGCTCTGCCATTGCTGCTTCTGCAGCCGCCACCGCATCCCCCTCCCCCTCCACCCCTCTTTCCACCTCTCCTGCTCTGTCCACCCCTCTTTCCACCTCTCCTGCTCTGTCCACCGTGTCTCCTGATCCACTCATGATCTCCTCGCTCTGCCTTGATTGCAAGGTCTGTGGCACCATGCCTGCTTCAGCAGCAGTCACAGAAGCAGCCGGTGCAGCAGCAGCAGCAGCAGCGGCAGGCGCAGCAGCAGCAGAAGCAGCAGCAGGTGGTGATTCCAGAGTCAGCTCACGCAGTGCAGCAGGTGCAGAAGCGCTGGCAGAATCTGGTGAGGAGCAGGAGACAGGGAGGCGAGGAGGAAAAGCGAAGAGAAAAAGGAGGAGGTTGGCAATAACTCTAGCTGGTTCTTGAGAAATCTAAATAAACTAGTCAGAAAGGAGTTTAGGAAAGAGAAAAGGCAAAAGTGCTGACGAAAACTCTAACCCCAAGGCCAAGGAGAGTCCGTCGATGTGGATTCAGTGGGACGAAGGAATGCAAGCGGAACGAAGGGGGGGAAGGTGACTATTGAGTCGACTCAAAATTCTGCCGACAGAAACTCTAAACCCCAAGGCCAAAGAGAGTCCGTAGATGTGGATTCATTGGGACTAAGGAATGCAAGCGTAACGAAGGGGGGGAAGGCAGCAGCACGCTGCGAGGAAGGTGGTGCCGAAAGGAGGAAAGGCATTGTGGAACATTGCGAGGGCAGGCAGTGGGATGGTAAAGAAGCAGACGAAACACTGTGACTTTTGAGTCGACTCAAAAGTCACCTCGAGGGCAGGCAGTAGGATGGTAAAGAAGCAGACGAAACACTGTGACTTTTGAGTCGACTCAAAAGTCACCTCGAGGGCAGGCAGTAGGATGGTAAAGAAGCAGACGAAACACTGCGAAGGACTTCTGATGCATTGTGGAACATTGTTGTCGAAAGCAGACTTAGGTAGACAAGAGAGAAGGTAACCACGGAGGAGGCTCATGGCTGCGGCTGCGAGGATAAGGTAGCGGCTGGAGCAGGTGGTATCTGAGGCAGGTCGCATGAGGGTGAGGTCATATCTGAGGCAGGTCGCACCTGAATCATGGTCATCAGCAGAAGCAGCAGGGAGGCGAGAGCGCAGATAGTCCAGGAGGTTCTTGGCCGGTCCGTTGATGAGCGTGCTGCAAAGGCGGGGGCGGGAAGGTTGAGGGGATTAGGGGATGAGAGGATGAGGTGATGAGGCAAAGGAAGCAAATGGAGGCGATGTGCGGATAGTCCAGGAGGTTCTTGGCAGGGCCGTTGATGAGCGTGCTGTGGAGGGGGGGAGGTTGAGGGGCATTGTGAGTTTTGAAGGGTATTGAGGTGATGAGGTAAGGTTGAGGGGGGGAGGGAAGGTTGAGGGGCATGGTTTGCACTGAAGCTGTTGATGAGCGTGCTGTGAGGAGGGGGGAAGGCTGGTTGGGGAGCATTGTGGGTTCTGAGGGGTGAGGTGAGGTGAGGCATGGTTTGCTATGGTGTTGATGATGAGCGTACTGTGAAGGGGTGGAAGGTTAGAGGATGTTGAGTTGATGAGATGAGATGAGGGGATGATTGGATGATGGGATGAGAAGAATAATGCCGTACCTTCGGATGGTTCTGATGGGATTGCCTGCTGCTGCGACCCTCTGCAGCGATGTCATGCTACCTGAAGGGAGGGAGTAGAAATGATCATTTCTTTTCAATCTCAAGAGCCAAGGAGCGAATGTGCGTGACATGTTGAGGCGTGTTGAGACATCAACACATGTTCTGAAGGGGTAGCTGGCAAGATTTAGTATTGTGCTGAGCTGTAATAATGTGACTTGCCATGGTGTCAAAGCAGACAAGGAGGTTCGACATACCAAGCCAGGCGGGCAGGGTGGGAAGGTCATTGTCGGAGACATCAATAGCCTGGATGCTCAGGCGGCGCAGTGACGGGGGCAGGTCCTCCAGCTGACATCAGGGGTGGGTGTGTGAGCAGGGAGGGGATGGGGTGGGTTTACTAGTGATGATATCACTCAGTGCACTTGCCAATCCAAGACATCAATAGCCTGAATGCTCAGGCGGCGCAGCGATGGGGGAAGATCCACCAGCTGGCAGCAGGGGAGAGTGGGGGGGAGGAGGGGAAGGGAGGAGGGAAGGAGGGGAGGGAAGAGAAAGCAGTGAGGAAGCGGACAGGGTGGGAGGGTGGGGAGGTCATTGTGGGAGACATCAATAGCCTGAATGCTCAGGCCGCGCAGCAATGGGGGGAGGTCCTTCAGCTGGCAGCAGGGGTGTGTGCGGGGAGGGTACAGGGGGGGAATGGGATGGTGGAGGGAAGGAGGACGAGGAGAAAGCAGTGAGCAAAAGGTTGCGGTCAGGGTGGGGAGGTCATTGTCGGAGACATTCGGAGCCTGAATGCCCAGGCAGTGCAGCAATTGGGGGAGAGGTTAAGGCAACAATTGCTCTATACAAGATGAAAACAGGAGGAAAGGAGTATGGGATCTGGAACAAGGAGTATGGGATCTGGAACAAGTGAGGCACAGCACGTGAGACACAGCACGTGAGACACAGCACGTGAAACACAACACATGAGACACAGCACATGAGATGCAAGCGTGTCCCACCACACGCATGTGAGAGCAGCTACCTTGTTGGAGGGCACAGAGAGCGTCACACGAGAGAAAAGAAAAGCACACATGCGAGAGTGTGTACCTTATTGAAAGGCACAGAGAGAGAATGTCACAAGGGAGAATTTCTGATTCGTCAAGAAGAGGAGAGCACGCATGCAAGAGCACACACTTTATTGGAGGGCACGGAGAGAGTAACAAGTGAAGGCAGGTGGCCGATTTCCACTGGCAGCTGCTTGAGCTTGTTGCGGCTGAAGCATAGAAGGCGAGAGGAAGGGTTAGAGGAAGGGGGTCAGGACATCAAGAGGTGAGAGGAATGAGAAGGCGAGGCAGAAGGGGGGAACGGAGGACGGGAAAGTAGGAGGGGAAAGGGGGAGGGGATTGGGGGAGGAACAGGGGGAAAGGGAAGGTAAACATTCAACGCTTTAACACGAGTTGATCACGAGATGAATACATGGGATGCATTCAGGGACCATGTGTGTGTGTGTGTGTGTGTTCTTCTTCTTCTTCTTCTCAAAAGTTGCTCACACCTTTACTTGGCATGCATTCAGAGACCAGGCAATGGACGCAGGAAAGGAGTATTCTGATTAAAAGCATTTGTAAGGAAACCTTCTCAACGTAGCTGAGCTGCCAATAGGCGTACGACATGTGTACCGCAGCACCACACTAAACGCACCTCAGGTGAAACTGAGAACGTACCCCAGGTGAAACTTAGAAACGTACCCCAGGTGCTACTCAGAACATACCCCAGGTGAAACTCAGAACGTACCCCAGGTGCAACTCCAGCAGGGAGATGCAGCCGCTGATGGTCGATGGAACAGAAACAAGGCCTGGTGGCGGTGTCATGCGCATGAGAGAGGTGTGGGGAGGGATGAAGAACGGGGGAAAGGTGTGAGGGGGATGGGACGTGGGAGCGAGGAGGTGGTGGGGGTGAGAAAGGGGAAGGGGAAAGATTCATGCCGCCGAGAAGCAAAGGGGAAAGAGAGAGGCGCTTGAGGGAAGAGGAACGGTATACATACCTATCCAAGTATATACTTCTACATATTCATACATTTACATGTGCGAAACCAGAGTCAAGGTTAAGAATGAAAAAGAAGGGAAAAAGGAAACTAAGCTCCAAAGTGCGGAGAACATGAGCATACATGGCTACGATAACACATGCCCTAACGATCATGCATGCGTGAATCCATGCTAGATCCAAAACGGCTCCCAATAAAAGGGTTGCGAGACACACAGTTCTGAAAGGCGTTGAGGTGTAGGAGTGACGAGAGGGCTCCTATGTCGTCCGGGAGAGACTGCAGCTTGTTGCGCCCTGGACGGAGGGGGAAGGAAGTGGTGGGAGGAGGGAGGATAACGAGACGAGACGAGACGAGACGAGATGAGCTGAGCTGAGATGAGTGGAGACGAGGAGGGAAGAAAGGCCTCCTATGTTGTCCGGAAGAGCCTGCAGCCTGTTGTGCCCTGGACGAGGGGGGGGGAAGGAAGTGGGGGGAGGGAAGATGACGAGGCGAGACGAGATGAGCTGGGATGAGTGGAGACGAGGAAGGACGAAAGGCCTCCTAAGTCGTCCGAAAGAGACGGTGGGAACGGGGGGAGGAGTGACGAGACGGGACGAGACAAGATGAGTGGAGTGGAGACAACAATGGATTTTTGCGAAATGTCAAACAGCCCTGGTTGAGGGGGAGGGAGGGACAAGATGGCCTGGCTGCGACCTCCTATGTCGTCAGCAAGAGACTGCAGATTGTTGTGCCATGGGCAGCGCCGCGGGAAGACAAGTGGATGAAGAGACGACGTGAAACGAGACGAGACAGGATGAGACGGGAGGAGCAGAGACGAGGAGGTATGGTGAGGAAGAAATCCTCGTGATTTCAGAGGAATGTTGGGAAACACGTCCTCGAAAACCTCATGCTTGGACGCCATACCAGCCAAGATGGAGCACCCAAAGTTGATTATAGATGCATGCCGTACCAAGGTGGAGATGCCATACCAAGGTGGAGATGCCATACCAAGGTGGAGATGCCATACCAAGGTGGAGATGCCATACCAAGGTGGAGATGCCATACCAAGGTGGAGATGCCATACCAAGGTGGAGATGCCATACCAAGGTGGAGATGCCATACCAAGGTGGAGATGCCATACCAAGGTCGAGTTGCCATACCAAGGTCGAGATGCCATACCAAGGTCGAGATGCCATACCAAGGTCGAGATGCCATACCAAGGTCGAGATGCCATACCAAGGTCGAGATGCCATACCAAGGTCGAGATGCCATACCAAGGTGGAGATGCCAAACCAAGGTGGAGATGCCATACCAAGGTCGAGATGCCATACCAAGGTCGAGATGTCATACCAAGGTCGAGATGCCATACCAAGGTCGAGATGCCATACCAAGGTCGAGATGCCATACCAAGGTCGAGATGCCATACCAAGGTCGAGATGCCATACCAAGGTGGAGAGATGGCATACCAAGGTCAAGATGCCATACCAAGGTCGAGATGCCATACCAAGGTCGAGATGCCATACCAAGGTGGAGATGCCATACCAAGGTGGAGATGCCATACCAAGGTCGAGATGCCATACCAAGGTCGAGATGCCATACCAAGGTCGAGATGCCATACCAAGGTCGAGATGCCATACCAAGGTCGAGATGCCATACCAGGGTCGAGATGCCATACCAAGGTCGAGATGCCATACCAAGGTCGAGATGCCATACCAAGGTCGAGGTGCCATACCAAGGTCGAGATGCCATACCAAGGTCGAGATGCCATACCAAGGTCGAGATGCCATACCAAGGTCGAGATGCCATACCAAGGTCGAGATGCCATACCAAGGTCGAGATGCCATACCAAGGTCGAGATGCCATACCAAGGTCGAGATGCCTGAGGTTGCGGAGTGAGGAGAGCAGAGGCGAGGGGATGCTCTGCAGCTGGTTGTTCTGTCATTGGCGTATGGGAGGGAGAGGGGACGAGAAAAGAAGGGTGAGAGAAGGAGGGGAAGAGGAAAAGAAATAGAAAACGATGTTTGGTTTTAAGGGAGATCAGGAAGTAACGTAGGAAATAACGTATGCGGGGAGTGATGGGAGAGGGAAAAGGGGAGAGGGAGGGAGGGGGGGATGAGGGAGGGACTCTTTCAAGACAGGATGCGTCTTAGAAGAAGATTGGGCCAAATCTATCAAGTCCGGAAACACAGAAGTGCGTCACAGCACATTCAAACATAGGTGCTTGTTCAAACACAGGTGCGCGCATGCAATGCAAGTACACCCCAGTAACACATGGATGGACCATGGTACAAGTATGTTCTTATGAAATGCCGAAGTTTACCTGCGGGACGAGACGAGAGAAATCTAGGCAATGGCTTAGGAAGCAACCGAGATGAGTCAAGCAGGAGCACAACACAACGCACCTCGAGATTGAGATGAGAGAGAGCAGTGCATGAACCCAAGGAGGCTGGCAGGGAAGCAATGCGGTTGGAGCATGCCTGCACAAGATAGGAGGAACAGGAGGAAAGGAAGCACTTGCTGGGCTTGTCAAAATGCTCGCTCCAAGCAGAAACCTCCCACGAAACAAAGTTTGAATCAAGGGGGAAAGTACAGGAGGCAAAGGAGGCAGTGGAAACGAGGGGATGGGGACGAGGTAGGAGCGAGGGTGGTGGACCTCGAGGTGGGCGAGGAGTGTGCAGGCGGCAAGAGCAGCAGGCAGCCCTTCCAGCACGTTATGGGAGACGTCCAGCCTGCGCCGTGGTTGGTGGGGGGGGGGGGGGGTAGTGGAGTGAATGGCGGGGATGGTAGTATTTGAGACGTTTCAAAAAAGAAAGGAGTGTACAGGCGGCAAGAGCAGCAGGCAGCCCTTCCATCACGTTATGGGACACGTCCAGCCCGCACAGTGGTTGGCCGGCACAACGACATTTTTACAAATAACAGAACCCTTGGTGCAAAACCGAATGAAGAAATGGGAGGTAAGGTTTTACCTTTCAGTGAGGCCTCCTGCTAGCTACTGCTCCTGGCTCGGCCAGGTTCGCGGTTGCACTCACTTGACCAGGTTCGGTACACTCACTTCACCAGGTTCGCTGCACTTACTCGACCAGGTTTGGTGCGCTCACTTGACCAGGTTCGGTGCTGCACTCACTTGACCAGGTTCGGTGCTGCACTCACTTGACCAGGTTCGGTGCTGCACTCACTTGACCAGGTTCGCTGCACCGCCGATCTCCTCTGGCAGGCACTCCAGCTTGTTGTGGCTCGCCAGCAGACTCTTGAGCTCCACTAGCCTGGGTGGTGCAGCGATTGCAGAGGGGGACAATGGAGTGAAGTGGAGTGAAATGGAAATTGAGGCTGCGTGGGGTGGTGGGAGGGCGGTAGTTGAGTCCATTTGAAGGCCACCTTGTTGTCGCTTGTCAGCAGACTCCTGAGCATCACTAGCCTAGGTGGAGTCGGGGCACGGGAGAACAGAGGGACCCATACGCGACGAACGAAGTGGGGAAACGAAGGGACCAAGACGATCGATCCCGGAATGGAGCAAGTGTGTCTTGATGTGCGACATGTTGCCATGTCACGCCATACAGCGTACACCCCACCGACAAAAGCTCCACACTCCAATCTCCACATTCCACACCCCACACGCCACTACACAGACCTCACCACAAGCCCACACATCTCATCCGTGTACCCCACACACCCCTACACATGCCACAGTCACTTGCCGACAGCAGCAGGCAGGCGGGGCAGGGTGTTGTATCTGACGTCAAGCCATGTGAAGCAGGGCAGGCGAGCAATCTGCTTCACCCTCGTACTCAAATTCCCCACTCACCACATGCCACACTCACTTGCCGACAGCAGCAGGCAGGCGGGGCAGGGCATTGTAGCTGACGTCAAGCCACGTGAGGCAGGGCAGGCGGCCGATCTCCTCTGAGATGTGGGTCAGGCTGTTGCGCGCCAGCAGCACCTTCTGTAACTCCACGGCCTGGGGGGATGGAGGGGATAGGGGGAGCGGGTGGTATGGATGAGGGTGGTGCAGCACCGGGAATAAACAGGCCGATCCCTAAGATGTGATCGAGGCCGTTGAGCGCCAGCAGCACCTTCTGTAGCTCCACGGCCTGGGGGGAGATAATGGGGGATGGGGGAGATGGGTTGAGATAACCGGGGATGGGGGGAATGGGGTGACCACTATCGGTGCACTGATTTCTACCAACATATAATATAAGCCATTATTCTTCGGAATATGGAACGTCATCCAGCATCGAGTAGTAGCATCCGCATGGAAGCATCTACCACACCAACTCAAGGCATGCACACCAGTTCCTGCCTTCCAACGCACCTTCCACCACTTGTCAAACTTGAGGGACGTCGTCCAGCGATGAGAAGGCGTCGGAGGAGATTACCCGTGACATCGCACATCTCTCACAAGAGACACGTAACCACATACAGTCAAGGCATGCAGGGTGAAGGCATACACACCAACGCACCTCCCACGATTTCTCGGATCGGATTGACGAACGCCATCCAGCAGCGAGTAGAAACTTGGGAGATATCACTCGGGACAACGCACATCTCTCACCACGCACGCATCCCACCACGTACAGTAAATGTATGCACATCGACGCACCTCCCACCACTTCTCGGACTGAGGAACGTCGTCCAGCAGAGAGTAGACCTCGGGAGGCACTTCCCTGTGAGACACGACGCGGAGGGACGGAAGAGAAGTCATGGAAACCATCTGAATTGAAGCAGGTGACGCATGCGGTTTTTTTGTCTACTCCTGCTAATTTACGAGGTGGTCTTTTGGCTGACACCAGGTGATTCCTAGGTGACACGAGTGATGATCGGAGAAGCTTTGTCACGGTGACAACGTTGAGACGACTTAATAGACGCCATGTCAGTGCGACACGCGTTGAGACATCTCAAGAGAGCAATGTCAGGGTGTCAGGGAGACCGGATCACTGGTCTCGTCGCTGGTCACAAGGTTACTTGGAAACGCAGATTCAGGGAGGAATGGAGAGGCGATGTACGGAGTGGAGATAACCTGCAGTCGTCGACTAGCAAGTCTCGCCGGCATGGTTCCGAAAGAAACTATGTAAGGGGAGAATACCAATGCACCGAATGCTCGTGTTCTGTTTATTAATTTTCTTGCACCAGCTCGGAACAAAGACAACAGTCACTAGAAAACAAGGTCCGCTTCGAAAATGAAAGATCAGGCATTAGTGGAAAACGTAGCATTTTGCTGACACGTCGTACACGGTATACTCTATGCTGTATAAGCCACAAACGGGGTGTCAGTTACTCGGCTAAACCAGAGGAACAAATAAAGAATGGAAAGCTTTCTAATTCCTTAGATTCGTGGCTTCGTACTTGAGATCTTTCCCCGAGAGGTTGAGAGTCCCGGATGACCGGGCTGCCTTGAATACAGCGTCGAGTGCGGGCGTAACCACCACGATCCCGCGCTGCATATCGGCACGCGCACCGCCCCTCCTCATTTCGCGAACGGTTGCGAACAATCTCAAAGCTCGTGAATGCGCGTACAAGCGTGTGCAGAAAAGCTACAAGATCGTGTAAGGTTTCGTGACCGAGGCTGGGAAGAACTTACGACTAGCTAGTCCCAGTGTGTTTCGAAGGAGCACATAAACAGCCTCGCAGACTAGTACATTGCCCTAAGATAACAAAAGTAAGTATCTCTGGGCGAACAACCCGTCGTATCAGTCACGTAATCGCTCGCTCACTTCAATCGTTGCATGGATACAAACAAGTGGAGACTTCTGATCTGGTCCTGCATTTGCCAAACGCTGGAAGCAATGAACACTTTGGCGTTGTTCTGCAGGCGTTTAGGTTTCCGCACCAATTTGACCGCGGTAGCCTTCCGTTCATTTTCTAGGCGCATTCATGCTGGTTGCGTTGCGCGGATGTTGCTGCCTCGCATAACGGCGGTGTTCGCCAGCACATGCAAACTTGGAAAAAAAATGACGGCATCGGAATGGCCACGGCATCGGGAAGCGGGGCCAGAACCCTCCGAAGAGGTTTGGGCGAAATGCCACTCGCGAAATTTCGGGCCCCGAAATGGGAAACGTGACAACCACATATGGAACCTGCCTCCCCACCTTCTTACTCTAGCCTCTGACAGCCAATGACATCGCCATCCCACGGCAATCCACCGTGAAATGGTGGATTGCCATGGGATGGCATGGGACTTTTCGTTTCCCGGGGAGGAAATCACTTCCCCATTTCCGAATGCCATGATGCTGTCCGAAATTTGAGAAAAGTGAGGGCGTTCGCCAGGCACCAAAGTTCCATTTGGCTCGGACGGCATAAGAGGCTCGGCAGTATTTTTACGGGCTGACCAGCCTGACGGAGCTTAACGAACCCTAACTAACGGGATCAGGAAGGCGAGACCGACCTTCCTGATCCCGTCCTTTTTCGTCGTTTTTGCTTTCAAAGGTGCTGGCGAACACCGCCAACATGTGCGGAGGCTGATGCTAGCTCCCGAGGTAGAATTAGCACCACGCTAGTTGTGCGACCATTTGCCCGGCGAAGCAACTACTTCGAGCCTGCAGACGACTAAATTCGTGCGCCCCAAAAGTGGCGTCCTGCAGGCTCAAGCGTTAAATTTGGCGCAAACAAGTTCGGCAGGACCTTTCTTATCACCAAACCTTGATAGGCAGAAGACCACTTATCAACGAAGATTCTGCGGACCCAGTTTTGGAAAATTTAACGCCTACATAACAGCGCCTTTCTGATTGCAACAGCTCTTTGATGATGGTTTCCAGGTCTGGGTTCTTGGGATTTGTGTCAGAATAGGCGAGGCCAGGCGCGAAATCCCTGTTTTGAAAAACTCGTTATAGAATGCTACGTCCAACGATTCTACAAGTTGAAGTAGACCGATAAAGTCTATACATTGACCATCCAATCTGTGAGTTGAACCCTCTGGTACAATTGGGAAATCTAGAATTTTCGTTAGGGCATTTATCTTAGCGGTAACACTCATGGAGCTCGAACGCACGCAAGGTAAGCCACGTTCCCAAATCGTAACAGAGATGTCTTCTCATCGCCATCATGGTAACCAGCATTGCCGAGATGGTCAGCATTATTGCCTGAATGGTAATGAACAGTGCATCCGGAAATCCTGGCTGGTAACTTCGCGTTCCAACCAAACTGTACACCGTCCAAGTCAGGTTTGACTCAGCAAAACGAAACTGACTGTCCACGTATACACCCACAGAATACACCCATGAGTGTTACCGCTAAGATAAATGCCCTTTTCGTTATGTCCAGTCCAGTACCCCTTTCGCTATGATGGCCTCTCACGGGAGTGCCCCTTCTTTCTTGATTTGTGATTCGACATTGGCTTGTCGGTGGTTTGGCGACCACCCGAACTGGAATCTCTCGCCAGCGTGTACCGACCTCCGTGGCACTCAATGACACGCATGTATTCACTGTGCTGACTGTGCCGCGAATGAAAACCTGCCACCTTGAAGTTACTGAGGGCGTGTCTCGTTTTTTATTTTCTGCCTTCCCGGACGGTTCTCTTTTTTGGTACTGGACGGTCCAAATAGCGAGGAGCCGACTGTCCGAATTGCCATTTCGGAACTTTCCCCCGTCCAGATGCAATTCTGTCACTTTTTCATGGACCATGAACTCACGAATTACTGTAGCTTCGTAATGGGCACTGTATCGTCGTTACACAGGTCGCGACATTTTCTCCGCAAAATTGTGCGCCAATCTGATTCCGTGTAGGAAAAAAAAAACTCGCGAGCCAATATTTAGTCAGTACTGTTGCACCGTCCGTTTGCTTTTCGAGCTGCGGAAGGTTCAAATTCTGAACCGTTGGGAGGAGGGAAAAGTGACGCGACAGTTCGTACCGTTGGCGACGTTGCAAGTACTATCACGAAGTTGATTACGAATTTTGCGAAGCCGGTAATTTCTTCGCAGTTCGGACCGTCCACGGTTCGAACCGTCGAGGGAAAAAAAGAGACACGCCCTAAACTGCGAGATCACTGGGTCACACAAGCACTGGCGGACCCAAGCCAGTGAGGGCTTTCTCCTTATAAGCACCATACTTAACCGACGTGCATACCTTTCCCAGCTTCATCTCTAAAAGTCGGGCTGTAGAATGCCATATTGGAACAGCCTTTTTTCGCCCGATGTGACAAGCCCTCACCTGTGATTGTCCGAATTTGGCAAGCGCGTGCTCATATATCATCTGTCGTTCTTGCCATTTCCATTCAGTCATTCCTTTACACACTTGGAGTTAGCTTCCTTTCAACCCGGTCGCCAAGATGTCTTATTGTGAGTGATAATGTTTCCGCCATTCCCAGCAGTGAGCTAGTTGTTTCCTTGATATGGCAGTACTGACTTAGGTCCGTGTGATCTGTGCCCCTGTCAGATGGCGGAAGCGACCCCAGCCCGTATGACTATCCTCTCCCAGGTGCGACTTGATCTTATCCTCACAATTCCGATTCTACGCGTTTCAGCATCATTCTTTTCCTCTGTATTCCGATTTTGCTTACGATCCCGTTAGTCTATTGGAAACACACTACAGGTGGACCCTCGCCACGTGGGGATGTGGTCGTGACTGGTCTTACTGGCGGATACGGCAGTGAGAAGAAGGGCAAGGGCCACCATTTCAAGGGCCACTTCAAGGGACGCCATGGTCACCACAAGCACCATGGTCACCACGGAGGTCACAAGCATAAGGGGTTGGGCCACAGGATCGGCAAGCGCAAGGGCCTCTTCGGCCGTAGGCACAAGTAGAAGGCGTTCACATGCTCGTACATGGTAAAATGCTGCCACTATGTTGCTCCTGTTGAGAATCAGTGCAACACCCATCTAACTATGCATGCTCGTTTTTTTCTCACGAAGGAATTTTTCTTTCATCGAAGGTAGTGCAAGCAACCTGCTTATGCTTCAGGAATTCCTGATGTTGAATGGTCTATTTTGCTGCTTCCAACTTCTGCAGAAAATACATTCTGCTGACAGCATTTGGAGGACCCTTAGAGTGAAGCCTCTGATACTCAGAATCAGGAGGATGGTTTGGGAAGCTGAAAATTCAGAACGGTAGTGGGAAGAGTTGTTGAGGAGTCTGTTGGCCTTTGACGAAATTAGCATTGATTTTGGCATAATGGTAAACACGCTGGCTGTAATTGTACATGTACACTTTAGTTGTTCTGGACGTCGGTTCGATTCGAGAGTGGTACACAGCTGGATCTTGACTGGTTGCAACGAACCAGGACATTCTCCAGGTCTGGGAACCTTGAACCTAGCGCCCAACCGAACCGCTGGGCTCGCGTTTACCAAGTGTCAATAAACTTGTCGGTGTTTGGGCGACGAGCCTTGGATGAATCTCTCCAGCGTGTCTCAACCCTCGTGGCATTCAGCAAGTGGAGAGACGTAGATTATTTGACTATTCGCCAATGTTCGATTGCCACGCTGGCTTGACCGGGACATTTCAGAAAGAACCAGCAAGCACTGACCAAGGCTTTGCCGTCGGCTTCACTCACCCCCCAGCACTAGCTGTGAATTGTGAATAAATGGCACTCCCATATTCCGAATTCTTCAGTCATCGTTTCACATTCTTGGAGTAGCATTTCGTCACTCATTCATCATGTCTTACTGTGAGTTTGCCTGGACCGTCTTTTCTACTCGGCTTCCTACCAGTAGGACAGTCCAGTCTGCAGGAGTACTGACTTTTTTTTTGTAATCCGTGCTATCTCTTAATGCAGCTGGCGAAAGCAGCCCCAGCCCGTATGACTACCCTCTTCCAGGTATGGCTTGCCTTGACTCTTGGCGTTATGAGAATCTCAGCCTTTTCGCCTACCGGATAGCTGATTTCGTTCCCGCATTCATCATTCCGCTCTCAAAATGCAGGTGGCCCCGCACCACGTGGAGATGTCGTCGTGACTGGCCTTACCGGCGGATACGGCAGCGAGAAGAAGGGCAAGGGCCACCACTACGGCGGCAAGGGCCACGGACACTATGGCCACGGTCACCACGGACACCACGGCGGCAAGCACAAGGGTGGCCAATACGGTCACCATGGTGGCAAGCATAAGGGTGGCCACCGCGGTCACTATGGCCGCAAGCACAAGTAACAAGCTTGCACCTTGAAATTTTTGTGATATGTCGCCGCCGTACGTGTGCTAGGTGAATTTGCGAGAAATATTTCATATATAGTGAACGAGGATGTGGGGTCTTATGTAAAGGAAGTTGTGTTGAAAGACGACATTTGCTTTCGGTTCGAACAACTGTATGTACAACCACACGCCTAGGCCCCGAATTTCAAATTGGCCATTTCATAGCATTGTTTCGTACTCACCTATTTCCCAGCTTGAATCGACTGACATGTTCACGCAATCTAGAGCAGAGGTAACGTAATCGCCACTTGTTCCCCCATTCCTTAATTCATACTGTCACCTACCATACCTCTAGTAGGCAAATGAAGAAATAACGCATTCTAGCATTTGATGAATAACATAGCACACTCACTCCCAGCCAGCAAACGAACATTTCCATCCCAGACATGGAGGATTGGAGCAACCCCCCCGCGTCATGCATCCCCCCTTTCCATGTTACTCCCTCCTGCTTTCTCACACACTCCCAGGTGGTGCGGTGATGCAGGCTGAGCACAGCAGCGCACATGGTGTTTGATGCGTTCAAGGACCATTCCCTCTCTTCATGCACATCCACCCTCAACGTTTCTCCCTCCCACTCTCTCACACACACACTCATTCAATCAGGTGGGTGCGACGACGCAGACTCAGCACAGTGGCGCTCATGGTGTTTGACGCATTTGAGCACCGAGACAGCAAGCAGTTCTTGAAGCAGCTCACCATCCAGCACCCCTTCATCACCACTCAGATCGCTCAAGTGCCCGCCCACATTGTTAGTAGACACATCATGTGTATCAAGGTATGTTTGTGTGTGCGTAGATGTGTGCGCTCGTGCATGCATGTGTGTGTGTGTGTGTGTGTGTGTGTGTGTGTGTGTGTGTGTGTGTGTGTGTGTGTGTGTGTGTGTGTGTGTGTGTGTGTGTGTGTGTGTGCGTGTGCGTGTGTGTGTGTGTGTGTGTGTGTGTGTGTGCATGTGGAGAGTGGCATGTGCACCTCTAGTCAGCATGGCTGTATGCAAGGAACCGAAATCCCATTATTGCACTCAGTCTGGCCCACTTCCACCACCCCTGCACCCCCTTCCCCCCTCCCTAATTGGCCGTCACTCCTCCCTCCCACCTCCTGTTAACCATCAGGGCGACAACGATGAGGATATGGACGATCCATCATCGCGCAACCAGGACACTCTCTTCGGCCGTAACCGCCCCTCATGGCACCCACATATTGCCTCCGCTCCGCGCCTCCAGACGCAGGCCACCTCTCAGGCAGCACCTTCATCGCGCACAGCCCCTCTTTCCCTCCTTGTTCCTTCCTCACTCTTCCATCCTTTCTGTGCCGTCCACTCTGTTCTCGTCTCCCTGCTTCTCGTAACATGGCACCCATCAGGGGGGCAATGACGAGGACACGGACGGCCCATCACGCAACTACTACACTCTTCGCTCAAGTGCCCACGCACACCGTCAACGGATACGTCATGTGCATCAAGGTGCGTTTGGGTGTGTTGATTGCACGGTGTGAATTGCACGGTGTGGATTGCACGGTGTGGATTGCACGGTATGAATCTCACAATACTTCTGTCGTGTCTTGCAGACAACGATATGCACATCTCTTCTCCACATGTCTTCCTGCATTTGAAGCCCTGTTTCTTCCTGCTCCCCTTCCACCACCCGTGATCCACCAGGGAGGCAAAGAAAAGGTCATGGACAGCCCATCGCGCAACCACATGCTCCTCAACTTCGCCTCCGTGCCTCCAGTCCAGACACGGGCCACCTCTCAGGCAGCTTCGCCTCGTGCCTTCATTGCACGCACAGCCAGTGGGGCTTCGAGGCCCGCTTCACTCTGCTGCACCTCGCCTCCTCCCTCGCCTCCTCCCTCGCCTCCTCCCTCGCCTCCTCCCTCGCCTCCTCCCTCGCCTCCTCCCTCGCCTCCTCCCTCGCCTCCTCCCTCGCCTCCTCCCTCGCCTCCTCCCTCGCCTCCTCCCTCGCCTCCTCCCTCGCCTCCTCCCTCGCCTCCTCCCTCGCCTCCTCCCTCGCCTCCTCCCTCGCCTCCTCCCTCGCCTCCTCCCTCGCCACGTGGTGCCGCTCTCATGGGTGCTTTGGCCCCGCCAGGCTCATGCTCAGAACGCAGGTAGGCGGGTGGGTTGGGTTTGGTTGCGGTGGGTTGGTTGCGGTGTTGAGAGCCACTGGGTTCGGTTGCAGTGGGTTGGTTGCGGTGTTGAGGGCCACTAGGTTCGGTTGCAGTGGGTTGGTTGCGGTGTTGAGGGCCACTTCACTCTGCTGCACCTCGCCTCCTCCCTCGCCACCTGGCGCCGCTCCCAAGGCTGCTTCGGCCGAATCTGTTTTTTGAGAATTCTATGCTAAATCCTTTTCCCGGAGAATCCCCAGAAAACAGATCCAGAATAAAATTCCCCTCCCCGATTTTGAGAATTCAAAAAAAGCAGAGTTCATGCTGTTTCATAATGGCATGCTCCGGATGCAGGTAGGTGGGTTGGGCGTGTGTATATGTGTGTCTGGAGGGGACTGTCCTTGTTTCACTCTGCTGCACCGCGTCTCCTCCCTCAGCCACCTGGCGCAGCTCCCACGGCTGCTTCGGCCCTGCGAGGCTTATGCTGTTCCACGATGGCATGTTCCACTATGGCATGTTCCACGATGGCCTGCTCCACGATGGCATGTTCCACGATGGCATGCTCCGGATGCAGGTGGATGGGTTGGGCGTGTGCTTTTGTGTGTCTGGAGGTGAGGATGACTGTCCTCTTTCACCCTGCTGCACCTCCACCCTCCTGCACCTCCACCCTGCTGCACCTCCACCCTCCTGCACCTCGCCTTCTCCCTCGCCACCTGCCGCCGCTCCCACAGCTGCTTCGGGCCTGGCAGGCTCATGCTGTTCCAGACGGGATGCTCAGGACGCAGGTGGACAGATGGGTTGGGTTGGGTTGGGATGGGTGATTGTACCATATGTGCCTTTGGACGGACGAAAGTCTGTTCCTAGAGCGTGTTCCCGTGGTTTCCCACGCCCATGTGCAGACCCACCCACGTGACGACTTTTGAGGCGCCTCAAAAGTTTTTCACTGGTTTCCCACGTTCATGCACGGACCCACCCACGCAGATATCAGTGTGGCCAGCAATCGGCTCAAGGCATGTCGGGGCGCGAGGCAGCGACTTTCAACACACAAGCCTTATCACCCCCTTCTCCTTCCCCCTCCCCCCACCCCCTCACTCCTCAACCACACAGATATCAGCGTGGGCTGGCAACCTCCTGAAGGCCGGCAACCTCCTGAAGGCTGGCAACCTCCTGAAGGCCGGCAACCTCCTGAAGGCTGGTAACCTCCTGAAGGCTGGTAACCTCCTGAAGGCTGGTAACCTCCTGAAGGCTGGTAACCTCCTGAAGGCCGGCAACCTCCTGAAGGCTGGTAACCTCCTGAAGGCTGGTAACCTCCTGAAGGCTGGTATCCTCCTGAAGGCTGGTAACCTCCTGAAGGCTGGTAACCTCCTGAAGGCTGGTAACCTCCTGAAGCCACTTTACCAACCTCCTGAAGGCAGTGTGGACTGTCAAATCGAACACCCTACCACCCCCTTTTTCCAACCCCCTCCGTCCACTTGCTCCCCAACCACTCAGATATCAGCGTGGGCCAGCAATCTCCTGAAGGCACTTTTTTTGTGGTGGGCGCTCTTAACCTACACACCCTACCCTCCTTCTCCTCCCTACCCATCTGCCGCTCCCCCACCGAGGTCAACCCACACACCCACGCCACGCGACTATCAGCGTGGGCCAGCAATCTGCTTAAGGCCGCACTGGGGCCGAAAGTAGATGCTTACTTGAGGTGGGGTGTCAACTCAAACACCCTACCACCCCTTTTCTCCCCTCTCTTCATCCTGAAACCACACAGGTATCAGCGTGGTCCAGCAATCTGTTCATGGCAGTGCTGCGGCCGGGAGCAGCGCCGCCATTTATACCGCCAGACAGGCTGACAACGCAGTGCCTGGAGAATGCGGTGGTGCTGCACTGCATTCTCCAGGCACCGCAGCGAGACACCGTCAACGCCAGTGATGCAGGCCATGCTCATCGCCCGCTACTCATATTCACTAACCTACTCCCTCTCCTCTCCCCTCCAGCCCCCACACACCTACTCCTGCTTTTCCCCTTCCCCCCTCCACTTTCCCCACATCCACAGATATCAGCGTGCGCCAGCAATCTACCTTTAAAGCAGTGCTGGGGCCGAAGGCAGCGCCGCCGGTCAAGCCACCGGACGGGGTCACACCGCAGTGCCTGGAGAACAGAGTGGTGCTATGGCAGCGAGATGGGATGGTTAGGAGCAGGTGGGGGGTTATGGGCAGGTGGGTTGGTGTGAGCAGGTGGGTTGGTGTGAGCAGGTGGGTTGGTGTGAGCAGGTGGGTTGGTGTGAGCAGGTGGGTTGGTGTGAGCAGGTGGGTTGGTGTGAGCAGGCGGGTTGGTGTGAGCAGGTGGGTTGGTGTGAGCAGGTGGGTTGGTGTGAGCAGGTGGGTTGGTGTGATCAGGTGGGTTGGTGTGAGCAGGTGGGTTGGTGTGAGCAGGTGGGTTGGTGTGAGCAGGTGGGTTGGTGTGAGCAGGTGGGTTGGTGTGATCAGGTGGGTTGGTGTGATCAGGTGGGTTGGTGTGAGCAGGTGGGTTGGTGTGAGCAGTTGGGTTGGTGTGAGCAGGTGGGTTGGTGTGAGCAGGTGGGCGGTGATTAAGAGGAGAGGCAGGTTGGGCAGGTTGCAAAGATAGTGGCGAGCCACTGGTGGGTGGTTCTGGGGAGGTGTGGGTTATGGGGAGGTGTGGGTTATGGGCAGGTGTGGGTTATGAAATAGAGACAAAGGTGGACATGGCAACGAAGGGCATACTGTAAAGGATGGACAGGGATGAGCAACATCTCGAGACAAGCTAACTTTTGAGTCGACTCATAAGTCACCTTGGACTTGGCAACGAAGGGCGTGCTGTAAAGGATGGACAAGGGTGAGAAAGAAAGCTTCTCGAGACGCTTGCTCTCAGCTTTCATGAGGTGAGACCCTCACCACACACTCTCCCTCTACACTCCCTCTACACTCCCTCTACACTCCCTCCCATCCCATCATCTCGCCTCCCCCACCAACACTTTCTCCGCCCCCTCAGATGCGCATGCACGTAGCAATGAAGGACGTGCTGTCGTGGGTGAGCAAGCACCTGGAGATGCATGAGATGAGAGTCACGTGATAAAAAAGGGAGTTCTTGAGACGTCTTTAAAAAAACTCACTTGTATCGCCTGCCACCTGTCGTAGGGCCCTCTAACACTGCCATCTGGAGATACACGAGACACTGCCACCTGGAGATACACGAGACACTGCCACCTGGAGATACACGAGACACTGCCACCTGGAGATACACGAGACACGCACGCCTCACTCCTGGTTGTCCCTTCCTCACCTCCTCCGCTCCCCCTCAGATGCGCATGCACGTGGCAACGAAGGACGTGCTGTCGTGGGTGAGCAAGCGTCCCAACGCACACATGCAAGCATAGCTCTCACACCGCACTCCACCGTTTGCCGCTGCTTTCCCCCCTCTGTTCCCCCCCTCAGATGCGCATGCACGTGGCAATGAAGGACGTGCTGTCGTGGGTGAGCAAGCACCTCGACGCACACATGCATGCATGAGCTATCACACTGCACTCCACCCCTTGCCCCTGCCTTGCAGGCCTTCCTTCCTTCTTGTCTTCCATCAGATGCGGTAATGAGAGGGGGAAAGAAGAGGAACAAGAGGGAGGGGGGAGTGCTGCCGTGGGTGAGCAAGCACCTGGAGACTCTGCGGCGGCAGCAGAAGGGAGGCGCGGAGGACGGCGATCCGACCTTCTCAGAGCCCTGTGTGCACCGCAACCTGCTGTACTGATCTCTGCACGATGGGGAAGAGGGGGAAGATGGGGGGCTGAATGAAGAGGGAGATAGGACGGCGGCCCACCTTCCTAGGGAGTCGTGTGTGCACCGCAACCTGCTGTACTGAGTGGGTGAGAAGCGGGGCAGATATTGAGTGAGCCCTGCAGCCCACATGAGTTAAGGGGGGAGGCGCAGAGGACGTTGCGCCCACCTTCCTAGGGAGTCGTGTGTGCACCGCAACCTGCTGTACTGAGTGGGTGAGAAGCGCGGGGAAGCAAGGGAGGAGAGCGGGTTGGGTTGTTGGGGGGGGGAGGGGGTTGAGGGGGAACGGAGGGGAATCGAGCCCACCTTTTTAGAGTCCTGTGGACACCGCAACCTGCGGTACTGAGTGTGCAACGAGAAGGGGGAGAAGAGTGAGGGAAGGGGGAGGGGATGAGCCCACCTTCCTAGAGTCCTGCGCGCACCGCAACCTGCGGTACTGAGCCCTGTGCCCCTGAGTATGTGGATAATAATTGCAATATACGTAGCATCACACCCCACTTGTGCTGTGCACATCGAGGGTAGTGAAGTGGTGAAAGGGTGGAGAGTAGCAATGGATGGAGAGGTGCAGAATGTGTATATATAGCCTTCATACCAGTAATTTTCGCCCGTCAGCTGTTTGGAAGACTGTAGTGTCATAGATATGAATGCAGAAATTTGTATGATTTGGTAAATGATTGTCAACAGAAATCGTTCCGGAAATACATGCCATGCACAGTCTGCTTCCGGCATGGTCGATCTACTGCCATGTGTAGAAGCCTTGAGTTAAAAATTCGAAGTTGAAGACCAGTTTCTTGCATTGATGAAGAAATGAGCTCATAATTCATGTGTACAAGGACTCTAAGAACTAATCTGTATGTTATATACAGGTGCTTCGTGCTCTACTCTTCATCGTTGATAGACTTCCATGTACCGGGATTAATAGCCGCGACGAAGAAGAAGGCGATGCTCGCCAACAGCAGCGGCTCCAACTCGAAAATCGGCAACCCAGTCTCAATATTCAGCTGCGCCAAAGCGCCTCTTCCGGTGATCACCTCGCCGATCAAGCTCGCCGCAAACCCTAATTGCGCCATACGCCCAACAAACAGCTCGTTCGCCTTGGTGAATCCGAACAGTGGCCCATCCTCGCTCAGCCCAAGCGCGGCTTTGAAACTTCCCGGCTTCACCGGCGGTCCCGCGGGCGCCTCGTCGTCGACGAATCGCCCACGGTCGCCCAGCCCGCCGAGCACGGTGAATGCGATGAAGAAGAGGAAGTTAAACTATCTACCTCCTTCTCCCTCTCTCGAAGACCCTCTCCCCACTCCACCAGGACTCACCACAACACCCGCAGTGGAGCCCTCTCCAAGTGCACCTGCTGGAGATATTACACCATCTCCACCTATACCTGAAAACAACACACCTTCTCATGAGCAGCAGCAGAGTCAACATGAGCCAAACCACACGTCACCGCCTCTCTTCACCGACGAGCCGTCTTCGCTCCAACCCTCGATGGAGCGGCCCTTAACGCGAAAGTCAACACCTGAGCAGCAGCCAGTCGCAGAGAAGCTGTCTTCAACCGTATCATCTACTTCTTCACCTCCAGTCAACACTTCAACCATTATCCCTGACGCAGCAGACAAGCCGCTTCAACCCGTTCAACCACCAAATGATGTTCCTGAGACAATCACTCTTTCAGCACCTCCAACCATCCCTAACGGTAACACGAGTCACGAAGGTATCACCGAGCATTCACAGCGTCCCAAACGAGCACGCAAGCCAGTGCAGCGCTTGAACCTCGCAGTCGGTGCATGCTTCCCAGTCACAGCCAAGTGTGCCGATCCTCACTGCATGGACTGCAAGGTAGTCGCCATGTGTCACGCCATCAGTTGCCTCCCACCTGAGCCATCCACTCGCAAACAAGCACTGGCAAGCGCTGAGAGGGCAGAGTGGGTAAAGGCAGAGAGAGAAGAGATTAACAGCCTCCTTGCACAAGGTACATGGGTCCTTGCACCACTCCCTCCTGGTAAGAGAGCACTAAAGGTTAAGTGGACATACCGAGTGAAAGTGAAGGGAGACGGTACACTGGACCGATTCAAGGCACGCCTGGTAGCCAAAGGTTTCTCACAGATGCTAGGCACGGACTACACAGAGACCTTCTCTGCCGTAGCCAAGTACACCACAGTCAGGTGCCTCCTGGTAATGGCCACAGTGAAGGATCTCCACATCCATCAAATGGATGTGAAGAACGCCTTTCTCTATGGTAAGCTCGACGAAGAGATCTACATGGTACAGCCCGAAGGTTACTCCGATGGTACCACCAACGTCTGCAGGCTGCTGAAGTCCCTCTATGGACTAAAGCAAGCACCACGAGTCTGGTTTCACACCCTTGAGGTATCACTCCTCACCCAAGGTTTCACCAAGCCACAGTTCGATGCAGCACTGTACATCCTACGCACAAGTGAGGGGGAGTCCTTGTGGCTCCTAGTCTATGTGGACGACATCCTCCTCGTGTCAGCATCCTTGAGTCTCCTCACACGCATCAAAGGTATGCTCACCCAAGACTTCATCATGACAGACCTGGGTGAGCCCTCATACTACCTTGGTATGAACATCGTGAGGGACCGCACCACCAAGTCACTTTTCATCTCACAGCAGAGGTACACTGAGAAGGTCCTTTCAAGGTTTGGTCTCCTTAACTGCAACCCAGTTGAGACCCCACTCCCCTCGGACTTCATGCCAAGCTCACACGAGCAAAGCATTGACCCTTCCACTGTTGAATCAGAGGTCACTGAGCTTGAGGGTGAGGTCGAGAGCCTTGAGCCTCCTGAGGACATTGGTCATGACACCTATGCACCACAGTCCACGTCCCACATCACACCCCTTGAGCTCTCACTCTACCAGAGCCAAGTGGGCAGCCTTATGTACGCCTCCATCTGCACCCGTCCTGATCTTGCCCATACCGTTGCCATGCTCTCTCAATGCATGACATCACCTACTCGCATGCATCAGCGTGGGGCACTTCGTGCCCTGCGCTACCTCAAATCATCCTCTTCCTTTGGTCTCCTCTTTCAAGGGTTTGAGGGTGCAAGCATGCTGTATGGCTTCACGGATGCAAATTGGGCTGGGGATATCCCTACTCGCAGGTCCACTGGAGGATACATCTTCATGCTTGGAGGGGCAGCCATCTCTTGGCAGTCAAAGAAGCAGAGTTGTGTGGCTTTATCAACCACAGAGGCAGAGTACATGGCTGCGACCCAAGGAGCCCGAGAAGCAGTGTGGATGAGAGGCCTATTGAAGGAGCTTGACCTCCCACAAGAGAGCCCTACTCCCATCTTCATCGACAACACGTCGACGATCGCTCTCACCAAGAACTCAGTCTTCCATGGGAGGACCAAGCACATCGCGGCGCAGTACCACTACGTCCGGGAGCTTGTGGAGCAGAAAATCATTGAGCCCCTGTTTTGCCGCACGAGTGAGCAAGCGACGGATTTCCTCACCAAGGTCGTTGCACGCCACATCTTCATCAACAACCGAGTTCAAGCCGGGTTAGTCCCAGCAATCGGATTTGAGGGTACGGGCTTGCAGTGAGGGGGAGTGTTGTGAATGGCATGCTCTTCATGTGCCACGCTACTGTGCCACTCCAACCCCTTCCCCTCAAAACACCCTCGACACATTTTCCCAAGAACCCATCCAAACCACTCAACTCTTCCAAAGCCTATTCCAACCACTCAAGTTACAAACTCCTTTTTTCCAACTCATCCTCTCCAACTCAAGCCTATCAACCACCTCTTTAACTACTCCCAACCACCATAGACTTTCCTAGTCCAACTCAACCAATATTCAAACCAACTTCCCATACTTATCCTCAAGTCCCACCATAAGGCACATGACTCCTCATGATTTTCCATGTGCTTTCCTTTCCTACTCATCAAAGTTTACCCAAGTCATCTACCTCCTCCAATTATCCTCCTCCCATGTGCCTTCAAGCACATGCTTCCACTTCCTAGCCATCAACCTCCACATGCCTCTCATTTATTCCTTCCTTCCTTCCTTTCCCAAGTCACCAAAGTTGCCACCTCATCCCTAAGGACTTCATGATTATCCCATCACCTCCTATTACAAGGCAACAAAGCTCATCATCTCCTCCACTCATCCTTATCCAACTCACTAAGCTCTCTTCCAACTCAACAAGGCTTACATCTCCAACTCATCAAGTGCTCAACCACCATCACATGCTCCAATCCTATTCATCTACATCAAGCATCTCTACAACTTCTCAAGAAGGTTCTTCAATGACAACAATGCATTCCAAGCTTCTTCACCAAGCTCATTTCCAAGCTTCTCCTTCAAGCTCCTCTTCTACTACTCACTAGCAACCAAGTTCTATGTCTCCAAAAGTTGATACTCTCATGCAACTCTCTTCCAAGGCTACCATTGATGGTTACTCTCTCTATGCATGCCTATGTATCCCTCATGGATCTATAAGGCTTGTACTATACCTCTTTCAATATAAGTTTATGCTCACAAAGTGTCTCTCATTAGTCTACAAAGTTAAGCATCAAGTGAAGAGTAGTCACCTCATACTCTACTTGAGTATAAGGTTCATTACTTCCTACAAGCTTGAGGAATGATCATCACCCAACACCAAGCTTGATGTTCTTCTTCAAGTAAAGCTCTCAAGACCAAGCCATTCCTACAAGTCACCTCTACAACTATCCATAGTAAGATTCACTTAAGTAAGTGCTTATCACCTCTCTTATTCCCTCAACAAGCTCAGACTCTCTTTCTCTTTTTTGAGTTCTTATCTCATCAAGCATTCCACCTTACACAAGTTTCTCTTTATAGTCACAAGTTCTAAGTATTATCTTCTCTTCTATCAAGCTCATCCGCATTTGCTACAATTCCACTGTTCACTCTTGTCTTATTCTATTGTGCAATCATACTCTTTTGTCCTTATCTCAATTATCTACACTTTATGCGAGCAAGTGAATTTATGAGTTTCCCGAGCCGCGAATTGAAATTGACTGTCAATCCCGATTGAGGCTTGAAACCAGAAAGGCAACAGAGATTCACTGATAGACGTGGCTGTCCAATTGATGCGCCACGGTGGATGGTCCGCTTCGTCGCTCACTGGATCTGAGATGTAAGCTTAGCCGCGTGGCCGTTTTCTCGCCACCCACTAAGTCAGCCAGAGGTCAGAGCTTCTCCATGTCAGATCTGGCGTGTCTTTTGGAACTTTTCTGGGTCGATCGAGCTCTGTCACCAGCGTACCTCAGGCGTTGTTGACCCCCTGTGACCTGGTTTGCTGGATGAAGCGGGCGGGTACAGTATGAAGGACAGCACACACGAAGCTTGCCAAAGTTTTCCGCGTTTAGAAGAAAACGCTTGTATTCAAGACGATAGACAGACAACATAACTGGCTTCAACGTGATAACAAGCTAGTACCCACTCTGTTCGATGACAAACGTGGGTAAATCAGAAAGCAAGCAAGCTAGTAGATTACAGTAGTTATTTAAAAACAGTGGTTGGCATATTGAATCGAATGTCATCTCGAAGTACTGTAGCAAAAAAGGTTTGCATAACATCAGCATGTCACTCCCAGAGAAGCACACAGAATCTAGACAGGCAACTGAGTACCCTTGCCCAGCCCAGGGGTCAATTCAAACCACGAAGCAACCCACTCTACATCAAAACAACTACTTCAGCAAGCATCCCTCATCCTCCCACCTCCTTCCGAACCCATCCCCCATCCCACAAGTGCCTATGCAATGTAACCCCTCTCCTTCCTCAGCTGGTCGATCCCAACCTCCTTCACCAGCCTCACAACACCCAGTTCCGCCCCCTCCCCTCCTCCACCCACCCAATTCTCCTGCTGAAACGCACACGCCTCCCCTCCTGTCCCTTCCGCTTTCACTCGCACATCCTCCCCTGACGCCACCACTTCCAGTTCCTTCCCACCTGGAGCTGCAGCCCCACGTGCTCCCAGCACTTGAAAGAGCTGGTTCTGATGGTCGAGGGAAATAAAAGGGCGAGAGGAGGACGAGGCTGTCGGATGAGCGGGGAATGCCGCACACACAGCTGCTCCTGCGGATGATTCTGACGGGGACGATGAGGAGGAGGATGGATCGGAGGAGCTGGGGAGAAAGCGGTTGTCGAGTGCAGTTGACGCAAATGTGACAGGCGACGACATAGCATCTTGTCCCTCACCCTCCCTCCCTGCACCGTCCGCTGCTCCCGACCCAACCGCAGGATCACCACCCGCCTTGCTGGTGCCAGTCACATTGGCAAAGGGGAAATCCATGGGCAGTCGGGGGAGAGGGGAGAATATATTATCCTGCGCCAGGAACGCCAGGAGAAGCTGTTGCTGCGCATCAGCGTGAGTGCCTGCAGGACCAGCAGCAGCAGCAGCAGCCGCAGCAGCAGAGGTAGAGGCAGAGGCAGAGGATGTATGGCCTGAAGAGCCGTGGCCTTGAGTGCTCCCAACCACTACCTCCAACACTCGCTGCAGGGCCCATGCGTACCCTATAAACATCCCCGGGTTAAGGAACCTGTTCGGCGCGCTGTTTGCTGAATGCGGCTTGTAGAAGAACGAGGAAGATGAGGAGGCGGAGGAGGCGGAGGAGGACGCGGAAGAGGAAGGTGCGGGCGCGCAGCGGTCGTTGGCTGCGAAGGCCACGGGTGACTGTAACGAGAGGAACGACTCAAGCAGGTGCTGCTGCTCGCAGTGCCTACTAGGCAGCATAACGACGTTGTCGGAGCTCGAAACGGCTACTATGCGGTCCGGCGGCACGACGTGGAGGTACTTAAAGAGGAGAATCATCCAGGAAGGTTCTGGAGAGCCGGGAGGCGAAGGCGGGGGAGTGGTGGATGGATGAAGGCCGAAGATGGTGATAGGGATGTCGTTCATATGGCATGAATCTACGAGGCGGTGAAGATTCTCCGAGCATTTGAAAGGTGCGGCTCCCCCCGATTCAGGCCCTTTCGATATAGTGACCCACTCGATCGCGCATTGGGAATGCTTGAGATTAGGAGTGCCGGTAGCGGAGGGAGGAACGGCTGCTGACGTGTATTCCACGGTGCAACCATCCCGAGCGGGAAAACCCGCTGTAGAGGTCCTCGATATTCGATCCCACCGCTCTATCGCGCCAATGGCACGCTCCGAGCCGGCTTGCGCTAAGCGGCTGCATTCCTGCGTGCGAAGCGGCGGGCGAAGCGGTGACTGTGAAAGAGACGTGAAATAAACGGCGTTGCGTTGAGAACCAGAATCCGTGCCGGAGATGAACATTGATGGTAATAGTAACAGAAGGGTGAGCACGAGACCCGCGATAGCTAATGCGACTACCACGCGGCGCTTCTGCGACCAGGGCAGGCGATTAAGCTTGCTGAGGAGCAGACCAAATTTGACGGAAAGACTGGGCCTTGGGTGTGCCATGATTTGCTTCAGTATCGCTTGTGCGAGTCGATTAAGAAAGTGTGAATCTTAAAGCACTCTCCTTCTTTGCCGAATGTAAAAACCTACCTGACCTCCTGCCTACTAGTCTTACTGATTTTTAGTACGTAAAACCCAATACAGAAAGCCTTCGACATTGAACTGGAGCATTGTCCCCGTTACTGCAAATACTGATATATTCATAACGCCGTCCAGAATCGCTCTTGTTGAAGCGCTCAACATCTGTTCTGTAATCGAACCACCACAAACTGTGCTGAGCGCTCAGACAAAACCGTTTCGAACCGTTACTCACCTGGGTGGTTGCTGATGCTCAATTCGTTCAGGCCAAACCACCCAGAACCGAGAGACCCTGGCTATGAAGGGTGATTTGCCCCTCCTCTCCCCATCGTTGTTCCGCGCCAGCACCACTAGCCCCCCCAAAGCTCGCCCCACTTCCAGCACAAGCGCCTCTTTCTCCCGCTCCCGCTCCCCCGCTCCCTGATGCAGATATGTTCGGCCATTATCTCCGATACTCAGATTTCGCCTGAGCGCGCTCTCAGGTGTAATCACCAACAGAAACACAGTTTCTCGATATAGTACAAAGTTATTCTGGCTCATGTTTGTATACAGTCACTCAAAAAAAGGAATTCTAGCACTTGCAAAAAAAAAAAATATAATGCCCGTAGCGAAACTATATGATTTCCAGGAAGGATCAACCCTAAATACCGAAAGCCACCCAATATTTTGGAAAACATACTGCAACCCATTTGACAAAAAAATAATACCCACCTCGGATTGGGATGCGGCTCGGGAGGCATCAACCCTAAAAACAATGCCCATTCCCGCGTTTAGGGTTGACCCCTCTCGAAAATGCATCCAAGTTCCCTAGGGGTTTTATTTTTTTCTGCCATGCCCGAATAGGTATCGGTAATGTCGTCGTCGTCGTCGAGATTTGGATGAAGGCATAACAAATCCCCATCAGTGTTATCTTCCCTTGATTCAACCATTCGATGAATGGCTCTCCCCCATGGCTCGTTCTGAGAACTTCAACTTACTCAATGTCATGCTTAGCTCTATCAGTTCGACCATCTGAATACAGATCCGGGATCTACTCATCAAGAGCTTGTTTATGACGCCAACATTGTGTTCACAGAGTGAACATCGGTTAGTCGTAACTGCTTCTATGAAGATCTCTGTTTTTCATGTTAAGCAACTGTTTTTAAGCTCAAGACATTCAAGTTACTCTAAGGAAGTTAAAATGGTCGGGTCAAACTGCCGCTTAAGATGGCTCCGTGAAAACAAGACAGGTTCAAGACAAAGAAGCGGAAAGTGCAAGTACAAGGAGGCTGGACAACGGAATATATTTCGTTTATCTGCCTTTGCTGCGATTCATCGTCTACCAAAGAGAGAGGAAGCTCATGGTCAAGTGCGGAGACCACCTCAATCACTAGCAGGAACGATCAAGGATGGACCAGAGTCAATTTTCCATCAGATTGAATTTATGATGTCGGCGAAACGGGACGTTTCACGAAATTTTGGCACGGCTCCTAGATTATTTCAAGACGTTGACTATTTTCCTACTGGAATGTGTGAAGAAGGTTATTCCGACTTTAAGATTCTGAAGAACAGGAAGACAAAAGTCGATTCTGGAATTTTCCCTACGTTACAAGAAGCATATTTTCATTTGGAAGAAATAGATGACGCCGTCAGAGTGTTTCGGCGCCATGAATCAAGGCAAGATACTCGAGGTGTTTTTCCCTCTGAAGGTGTTTTGCTCTCAGCTGCTCCTATCACACCGCTCACACAAGCTCGAACGACTGCAAGTGTGATTGGAAACATTCGTCGTCCCCAAGGCCCTGTCAGGCATCAACTTCTAAGCAGGGCAATTTCTGCTGTAACCCAACTCCACCAATCTCAGCAAGGCAAGGTCAGAGCCAATCGACCAAGGCTAAAGCGTCACATTCGTCACCAAGGCCTTGTTCAGCAGCAGCGACCTAGAGCTGTTTCTGTTGCAAACCAACCTCACCAGACCAGGGAAGGCAGGTTCGGAGGAGCCAAGCCACCCAAGCTGAAGCGACAAAACCAACATGAGGAATGTATCGAGATGCTTCTGCAAGTACTGAAGTGTGACAATGGCACAATATGTTTTTGTGGCGGGCAAGCTGAAATGTTTAGGCGTTTGGTCTATAAGCCTCCGTAGAGATCTGGGAGGGTACGGTAGTATACACTACCTATGCCCTCTAGCACCGGTTACGACCGTGGTGTTTTTGCATTGTACGTGTATAGTGTATATTTCACCTACCAAAAAAAAAATAATTGGCAGTGTCGTCTAGTGCTTTCGGTAGCGTTGTTTAGCGGTCGGTTGCGCTAATGAGCACTACCAAGTAAATTATATGGGCTTCATTCTCTTACTAATTTAATTTCCGTACATATATCCAAGTCGGAAGGGTAAACTGGATGGTTTTGTTTTTGTCACTTCCTCATGAGTTCGACCAGCGTGAGAAATGTGACTAAAAAGCGACGACTAATCATCGTTGAGAAAGTCCAGGTTGAACACACCTGAGAACGCGGTCTGGAAAAATCTGAGTATCGGAGATAATGGCCGCAGATATTTTCCGCCACACCAGGCACCCCGCGTCACCCCCTTCTTCCAGAGCTCCGCCTGCCCCTCGACGGGCAACAACCCTCGGCGGTGCTCTCCCGCCGTCAAATAACATCTCCTTCCACTCGCGCCAGGCCCACTGAGGTCTGCTTTGCAGCAGATCCGAGATACCCTCAAGTTTGGGTTGGGTGGGTTTGTCAGTCACCTCACCCAGGCTCCCAGGAAGTCAGGATGTTTTACCCAGCTCAGCCCTGGCTTGTTTAGAAAAAACGAAAATTTGAGGTGAACAGTGCTGGCGGAAATTTTGCCCTGTCAGCTCCGTCAAGGAATTAAAAGAACCCTGCCAATTTCTTGAGTATGCCGCGCTTGGCACACTGCAGTGGCAGGGTGAAGGTCGATCACATCTCACTTCTGGTAGGGTGACTCAAAACACATTGAGAGGCCCTCACCTCACGTTCTCTGACGGACTGCTTGCGTCTGCTCTGGAGTTACAATCAGATCGACTCTGCTCCAATATTGTGAATCTTCCTCTGCTAGCTGTTGGCTGAGGACTAGGCAGCGAGACAGTAGTGACAGGAGTGGGGAAAGCGCAGCAAACTGCTCAGACCATATGAGACCACTTGCCTTACCATGCGTCTGTTGGCCTTAATAAGTGATATTTCCGGATATTTCGTTGTTCTTGCTCGTGGATTGGCCCGGCGCGTTTGTAACCCTCGCGATATTTACCCTACCCAATGGCACTTTCGTTCCCAAGTTATTGGAAAAGCGCTTGCTCTAAAAGAAAGCTGTGGTGTTGCTGGGGAGAGGGAGGAGGGATATTTCTTCGCGATGACACGTCATTCACTTAGATATTTCACCTGACGTACTTAAGTTGATCCCTCACTGCGGTCCATCGTGGATTGGTCAGTTCAATATCGAAGTGATCTCAATGTTCTGCCAATCTGAGGTAGAAGGCATATCTCCATCAATCACATCTGATATGGCATTCCTTCTTCCTACGAGGCTACAGCGATCGTCGATTCCGCTCTTCATTGCCCTGCCAGCATGTCACCGTCGCGAGTTACTGGTGCCATGGCGGCACCTCAGTCGCTTTTAAGAGAGAGCCTCCCATCAAACGCCGCGTCTCGTGGCCTCGTTTTCCTTCTAAAGAGAAAGCCTTCCACTCCTAAACTCACAATCGCCGCTCTACTTCTAAAGTCACTCAATCGAAAAGCACGTTGTTGCTCGTCTACGCACACGAGAAGCTTGTTTCAGAGAAAGGAGAGAGACTTTCAGGAGCGCGTCTCTCCCCGCCGTAAGCTTGCATTTCTCGATGGGAATTCCTCCAACGATGATACCTCCCCGTGTCAGCGAAATCCACCCCACTCTGCTTCCAACCCCGCGAAGGGTTGCTTCCGAACCCGTGCTACCCACAATGGTGCAACGCCGCATGGCTGAGCTCAACAGCAGCAAGAATCATCAAGACTCCCCGTTGATCGGAGCGGGATTTCCATCAGGGTTCAAGACTCCCAGGGTTGCTTCTGAACCCGACCTATCCACGATGGTGCAACGCCGCATGATTGAGCTCAAACGAAGGAAACTCCAAGACTCCCCGTCGATTGAAGCGGGACTTTCATCAGTGTTCGTCAAAATGGGTAACATAGATCATGATGAGGAAGAGGCGGCGTTTAAAGACATGGAGGACGTGGTGTGGCTGAGGCAGACACGGCTGGTGCTGGGGACGAGGCATGGCACGCCCTGCTCCTTCCCTCATGGCGGGGACTCCAAAGCACTGCCTACCTCCCACCGACGACTCAACCGCACCTATTCTGCTGGTTTCCGTGTTCCAGGCAACGCAGCCAGCATAAATCCAAACCTGATTCCTAACCTAGCTCCT